TTTTTTTCTCCACGGAAATCAGTCAGATATTGCTGCCAGTGTATTGCATCCCGTTCCTTTCACCGTTTTGCGTTGACCCGTTTTGAGCATGCATTGTGTCGCAAGGTGCTCTTCGTCGATGGAAGTCTTTGCTCGGCCCGCGTTCTTCAGCTCCCATGAAAGCCATGCGTGGGTACGTACATGCGTGGAGGTGCGAACTTGTCAAAGGCTGGGGCTTGCTAGAACCTGAGTGCGGGAAGCGCCCGAAATTCTAGTACATGGATGTCTGCACAGACATGCGGCAGCGTATTCAGTAATTGGGTGTATGATTCGTTTTTCGAGCAAGATCGCTCCAGCACTTCTTCCATCACTTCTCCAGAACTTTCCCGCATCGGCCATGAATTTCGCACGCATGAGAAAACATGTCGTTTGTCATTAATTTGGCCTCGTGTTGCTACACGGACTTCGCTTTTTGTCGTGCGCGTTAACCGTCAATCAACATTTTCCTCTGGCCATATTGGTGCAGTTTTGGTTCATTCTCACATTCTTTGGGTGGAACGCTTTTTTTGCGCAAGACTCAGCCGGATGCCTACTTTTCTGATCGCTGGAGGGACTGGCAACGTCGGCGGTGCTTGCGTTCGTGCGCTTTCTGCCTCAGGTGCCAGTGTGAAGGTTTTGACTCGTGATCCATCTAGCAAGAAATCACAGGCACTCGCGTGTTTAGATGGTGTGACCTTGGTGCAGGGTGACTACTGTGAACCATCTTCGCTACTTTCGGCCTTTGATGGGGTCGAAGCTGCGTTTCTAGGCTGCAGCAACTTCGAAGGTCAGGTAGAAGCTGAAAAGAATATCATTGATGCAGCTGCGACCTCTCCATCCTGCGCCTACTTGGTCAAGCTTGGGACATGTGGCACGGAGGGTTACACCGCAAAAGATAGCGTCATCCAGTATGGCCAATACCATGCTGCGATCGAAGAACACCTCAGCCAGGTGACGGGACTAAAGTGGACAGTGCTCCGTCCGAACGATTTCATGCAGAATCATATGGGAGACATCTTCGGAACTCTACCGATGGGCATCGTCGCGTATCCCATGGACCCCTCTAGCAAGGCCACGATCGTCGACACCAGAGACGTAGGAGAGCTTGCGGCAAAGCTACTCCTCTCGACAGGCGACGACAGACACCATGCGCAGAAGTACGACGTGTGCGGCCCGGATCCGATCTGCACGGAGAGGCTGGCGTCGATGTACACTGCTGCCCTCGGCCGACCCGTAGCGGCGGTGTCTTGCCCGGCCTCCGAGTGGATCGCCGGCGCCGAGAAGGCTGGGTTTCCAGCGTGGCTCGCGAACGCGGTTTCTTTGAACTTTGCTCAGTTTTGGAACTTGGGCAAGCTGGATTACCCCAGCAGTCCAGAGGTGCTCGAGATCTGCGCACCGAAGCGCACGATGGAGATGTGGATCGCCGAGCACGCTCCCATGAGCCCTCCGCCGAAAGGTGCCGAGCCAAGCTAAATTCTGGCACTCCAAGCTAAATGCTGGCGCTAACTGCTGCTGCTCTTAGCCTCCCTTGCCATCTCCCTCCTTGCCGCGTTTTTAGTAGAGTGTTACAGCCTCGTTTTTCTCGCGCACGCGAGCGCGAGTTTTTTCGTGGTCCAGGGGCAGTGTGTGCTGCAGCTCCGCCACCAGTGGGCCGAGGCCATGCCGTTGTCCGTGTTCTTGGAGCTGTCTCGAAGCGCCGTCCAGAAAAAACAATCATCTCCAGAGAGTGTAACGTGCGAAGCAGGCAACCCAGGCAGGCCAGCCGATCTTGCAGCCGCAGTCAACCAAGCAGAGAAGCACGACGGCGCTCGCAACAGTCAAAAGTTTGTTAACGATGGGTTCAGCGCCAGCAGCCGGTTGGAGCGAGCGGGGCGGCTGATGTTGGAGGAAGTCGGGACAGGGAGCAGGAAAGGTGAGTGGAAGGGGCGGTGGCAGGGAGGAGGCGAAATTGGGCAAATTGATTGGATGGTGCTCTCCGTTTTTCTGTTTCCGAGTATTCAGCTCTTTCGGCATACTTGTTGGAACAATATTTCGGGTGCCGCTAGCCCATTTCCAGATCTTCCTCAAGCAGCATCTCTGGGCGACAGATCGCAAAACACGTCGAGCAAGGGTTGTTGCCAATCGCTGCTCTCGCACGTGTTGCTCCGCGCGCGAACGAGTGCCAGCGCAAATCGCCACGACCTGTTCTTGAAAAACCACGCTGGTTTCACGTCGCATGCGACGCTGCAGCATCATATGTGTATGGTGGCTTTCTGCTCTACTTGTGCTCTTGCAGGACACATCTGCGCACAATGTAATGCATTGTGCAGGGATCGTGCAGCAGTTGCGTATGCATCTGCGCACCGTATACAGCGTGTTCTATGTAGCACCCCGCAGTTGCGGATAAGAGTAAGCGGGCGGGCGCGGGGTGAGTCGCGGGCGGGTTGCGGGTGGGTCGCGAGTGGGTCGCGAGTGGGTCGCGAGTTGGTCGCGGGCGGGTCAAGGGCGGGTTGCGGGCGGGTCGCGGGCAGCAGGTCGTGGGTGGGTAGCGGGTGGGTCGCGGGTGGGTCGGAGTTGGGTCGCAGGTTGGGTCGCGTGTGGGACGACGACAAGAACAACACCAACCACAACACAACAACCACAACAACAACAACAACGACAACAACAACAACAACAACAACAACGGCACCAACGACAACAGCAGCAGCTGCAGAAACAGCAGCGCCAACAGCAGCAACAGGATCAAACACAACAACAAGACCAGCAACAACAGCAGCAACATTAGCAGCGACAACAACGCAATACTACTCCGCACCGCGGAACCCCACTTCAGCCACGCACCCAGGGACAATGAATGACCGTTCTGACCCCTCACCCTGGCCATGCCTGCACGGGAGCGACCAGTTGGAGTTCATGTGGTCCCTTTCAGGTACTGACGTGTGTACGTTGTTCAATTCTAAGTCTTCGAAAGTTCTTTGGTTTTTGGGGGCCACGATCCTTTCATTTCTAATTGTTCGATCCGGGGAACAATTAGAAACGAGCACACTTAGAAAGGAACAACGTGTACTGGCGTGTACGCGCTCACACGGTGTACCTCAGGCGCTAGTGCTTCGGGCACGCGAATGACATGCACGTCTCCCGCGCGCGTCTGGTGCACTCGTTCCCAACCATCTTGACGTGTCGGGTCCTGGTTTTGAAGAGGCAGCGCCTTGCGTTCCTCCTTCTCCTCCTCGCTCCGCCTCTTCTCCTCCCATCCCTGCCTCTGCCCTCCGCACCAGCCAACCATCTCGGCACACCCCTTAGGCGTTGCGTGGCCCTATGGGGAGTTCCACCGAGGGCCCGAGTGGCTGCGCTCGCATGGCACCACCGCGCTCATTTCGGCACACCCCTCACACACTTCGTGGTCCCATAGGGGACTCCACCAAGGGCCCCAGTGGATGCGCTCGCATGGCGCCACCGCGCCCATTTCGGCACACCTCTCACACGCTTCGTGGCCCCATATGGTGCTTCACAGTGGCTGGGCTCGCATGACACCACCGTACCGATTCTGGCAAAACCCTTCACACATTTCATGGCCCAAAGGCCCCAGTGGCTGCACCACCGTACCGATTTCGGCACACCCCTCACACGCTTCGTGGCCCCATAGGGAGCTCCACCGAGGGCCCCAGTGGCTGCGCTCGCATGGCGCCACCGCGCTGATTTCGGCACACCCTTCACACGCTTCGTGGACCGAAAAAAGGCTGCACCGAGAACCCCAGTGGCTGCGTTCGCATGGCACCACCGCGCCCAGCCAGCACACTCTTCACACGCTTCGCGGCCCCACAGGGCGCTCTACCGAAGGCTCCAGATGCTGCGCTCGCATGGCACCACCGCGCACGTTCCGTGCCCCCATAGGGAGTTCCACCGAAGGCCCCAGTAGCTGCGCTCGAATGACACCACCGCGTCCATGTCGGCAAACCCTTCATACGCTTCCAACGAGGGCCCCAGTGGCTGCGCTCACATGGCACCACCGCGCTGATTTCGGCACACCTCTCACCTCTCACACGTTTCGTGGCCCCACTTGGGCCCTCGGCGGAGCTCCCGATGGGACCCAGTGGCTGGGCTCGCATGGCACCACCGCGCCCATTTTGGCACCCCCTCACACCCTTGTGGCCCCATAGGGAGTTCCACCGAAGGCCCCAGTTGTTTCGCCCACATGGCACTACCGTGCCGATTTCGGCACACCCCTCACACGTTTCGTGGCCCCACTTGGGCACTCGGTGGAGCTCCCTATGGTACCCAGTGGCTGGGCTCGCATGGCACCGCTGCAGCCATTTCGGCACACCCTCACACGCATCGTGGCCCCATAGGGAGTTTCTCCGAGGGCCCCAGTGGCTGCGCTCGCACGGCGCCACCGCCCCCATGTCGGCACACCCCTCACACGCGTTCGCACGCGCACCGCGCCCGTCTCGGCACATCCTTTACACATTTCGGGGCCTCCACCAGATACGATATTCACAACTGCGTTACTCACAACTGCTTACTCACAACTGCATATGGTTGGACCTTTTGCCAGGCTATGGTTGCCACGATGTCGTCAAAGGGTCGTCGCCGTGTGCCCGGCGCTGCCGTCGCCGCCGCTGTTGCCAACGACGACGACCACGACCATGCTGAGGCCAACGACGACCAAATCGACGACGACGACGTTGACCATGCAGCCATGCCGACGTCGACGACGCCGTTGCCGCCGCCGCCGGCGCTGCCGCCGACGCCGCTGCCGACGCCGTCACCGACGCTGACGGCGACGGCGACGACGAAGACGACCTCGACCACGCAAGCAACGCCGACCTCGCAGACCACCAGGACGCCGACGTCGGCGCTCGCGTCGTCGGAGTTGCCGTCGTGGTCGGCGAGGTCGCCGCCGCCGCCGTCGCCGCCGCCGCCAACGCCGACGCTTGCGACGGCGACGAGACGACGCTCCGCCGCGGCTGCCGCCGCCGCACGTGGCGCTGACGGCGCCTGGTCGAGGCTCCGCGAGATGCGGCGGCTCGCGCGGCTGAAGGCCCAGGCGGCCAGCGGCGGCGGAGTGCCGCTCGGCGAGGGGCCGCCGCTGGAGCCGCCGACTGAGATACAAGGCCGTCGCCGGAGCCGCCGCCGCCGCCGCGTCGTCGTCGTCGTCGCCGCCGTCGTCGTCGCCGCCGTCGTCGCCGCCGCCGTCGTCGTCGTCGTCGTCGTCGTCGTCGTCGTCGTCGTTGTCGTCGTCGTCGTCTTCGTCGTCGTCGTTGCCGTCGTCGTTGTGGCCTTGTGTGGGGGTCATTCGTTGGAGGTCGGCTACACATAGGAGTGGCGTTTCGCTGGAGTGATCTTTCCAGACCTCGAGTCATGAACAAAAAAACACCACGGGATTCTTTTCCACTTTTCGGCCTCTGGGGGCTGGGCCCCGGGACCGTCAAAAAACGATTCAGGATGAAAAACCAGTCCCGGGGAATGGGTCGAGACCTCTGGGGGTCGACGTCATGAAAAAATCAGGACGTCGGGGGTCTGGGTATTGCGGCGGTAACGTCCATGCTCAGTGCGACCTTCCGGCGCTCGCGGGAGGCCTCGCCTACGCCTTGGTCGCAGCTGGAGGCTGCCACCCCGTCCTGCCCTGATCAGCGACGGCCGACGGGTCGGCCGCGGCCTGCGGCCTCAACGGGGGTGGTCAGTGCGACCTTCCCGCACTCGCGGGAGGCCTCGTCTACACGCGGGTCGCAGCTGGAGGCTTCCACACCGTCCTGCTGCCTCGACGGGGCTGGTCGGTGCGACCCCTCCAGCGTTGGCTGAGACCCTGACCTACGTTGCGCCTTCGTTGCCAACTCTGCTCCTGCAGGCGCTCAGTGGGCCCCAGAGGCGGCAAGGCCGTTTTTCATGGTTTCCGAAACCGCGTCTCGTGAAACTGGAAACGGTTCATAAGCGGCAACCAGCAACGGCGAAAAAACGGCTCCTGAGTTGGAGCGGGAACCGGAACCGGCAACCAAAACGGCGACGGACAGCCAGACAAAAACGGCGCCAGCACCGGCAACAACACCGGGCCCCGGGCTCGCACGGGTCGGCGCGGTGCGGACGGGCAGCGTGAGGGAGGAACGATCGGCCGATGGAGCGGATCGGCTGCTTGTTGGGAGGATCGAAGTGGGTACACGCTGTTCATTTTTAATTTTTCGAGAGTTCTTAGGTTTTGGGGGGCCAAGATCCTTTCATTTCTAATTGTTCTGTCCTGGGCCTCTTCCTGGCCACTAGAGGGCCAGGAACAATTAGAAACGAGCACACTTAGAAATGAGCACGATTAGAAATGAACGACCTGTGCGGGAAGAAGGGGTGCGATGCCCAACAGCAGTTCCTGCTCCTTTTGAATCGGGTTCGCTGTCCACGCCGCCGCGGGCGCCTGTTCTTTGAGGACAACGAGCCGCCCGCCCAGCAGCGGCAGCTGTCGGTTTTGGGCAACATTTGTTGTTGGGCATTGTGCCCAATTTTTCCGCACCCATTCCGGGCGTTCGAAGCGTACATGCATGGAATGACCCCCCCGCGGGAGGTCCACCCCGGGGACGCTGAACGGAAGGCAAGCGGGGTGCTCCTGGCAGGCAGGGTGTGGAACTGACCCGCCGCGTGGAGGTTTCTCCACGCGGCCTTGCATGTAGAGTCGGGGCCCTGAAGAAGGATCCCTTTTTGTTGGGGAGGGGCTCCGCGTTCCTTAAGTGTTTCGCAGCTTGCCTCAGGTTTTCCTTATGTTTTCGATTGGAAATCGAAGTTGAACTTATGGAAAAAAGGGGCCTCGTTCCTTATTTAGGGTTCCTTAGGTCAAGGCCCCGACTGTAAGGAGCGACCCCCGCGCTCCAAGAGGTCTCACAGAAGCGCCCCTGCCCAAAGGGCGGCTCCCGAGCGAGGCCCCGGCCACGGAGAGGCCGTCGCGGGCGCTCTTTTGGGGGGCCTGGAGCTCCAGCGCGGGCGGGCCCGGCGCCGAGCGGGAGCGAGCCAAGGGGGTCCCCCTGGGTGCGTCGGGACGGACGAAAGGGGGGATTGGGAAAGGGGGAGGGAACGGAATTTGCTGCATGCAGCCGGTTTCGGCCCCACCGAGGGGCCCCTTCCTCGATACATAGCCGCCTCCGGCGCCGGGAGGCGCCGGGAAAATCAGCCACGTGAGCTGATTCTCAAACCCCCCTTTGCTATCCCCCCCTTTCGGTCGACCCGAGTGCGCCTCCCCAGCCTTCCCGTCCTCATCTCCCTCCTCCACGACTCAACTTCTCCCTCTTCCCCCCCCAGGCCCCCTCGCGCTGTGACAAAAGTCACGGCGGGAGGCGTTTCACTCTGTTCGGCCCCAGTGGGCCCTCGCAGGGCCTCGGGGCCGTCAAAGAACTACTCAGGGCGAGAAACCAGACCGGGGAAATGGGTCGAGACCACCAGGGGTCGACGTTATGAACAAATCATGACGTCGGGGGTCTGGGCCTGAAGTTGTCCGGAAGATCTCCTGCCCCCTGCGCGTGTCGTGCTCCTCATCTCTTCTCCTCCACTTTCCCCTGGTCCTCTTGTCCATCTCGATCTGTCCGCTTTAGTTCCTGTTGCTGCTGTTCGTCCTCGCTCTTTTCTTCAAGGTCGTCCTCTTGCTCACCCGCCTCCTCCTCTTCGCACGCAGCTCCCCTTCTTTCCGATTGGGCATAACACGAAGTGGTCTTTCTGTGTGAGTCGTAGGTCGGCTATGACACGCATCCGCGAATAGGGACAAGTCAGCGCCATGGGAAGGGATGGGAGAGGGGGATATGATGCCAGATGAGTCGTGAACACACCTAGCTTGTCCTCCTCGCGCTCTCCCTCCCATCTCCCTTTCCTTCCCCTTCCTCGCTTCTCCTTCTTCTCCACCGCAAGGCAGTCTTCACGCTGGTATCACATGGAGTTGGCGGGAGCCGTCTGGGGTTGCCGCAGGGGCCTGGTTCGAAACCGAGGGCGTTCGTGTATTCGGGCACGATTCTTCTTTCACGCAGTAGTTCGGGCTCCAGGACATTCTGATGCAAAACATGTGGCAGACAGTTCACGAATGTATGCGTCCACATATATATATATATGTATATGTATGTGTGTGTGTGGGTCGGTATAGTCCACTCAGGATCCCCCGCTTTGGTGTCCCAAGACGAGAGTCTTCTCGTACTGTGCACGGATGGGGCGGGTGAGGTAGACGGAGACGAAGATGATGAGGTGATGAACGGGGGGGCGGGCGGGCGGCCGACCGGCCGGCGGGTCGGGATTCGATAGAGCCCTTAAGAATTCTCTCTTGCAGCGGGAGATTGTTGAGTACTGGGTGTTGCCTAGACGGGGGCTGTTGGGTACAGGGTGGTGCGTGCTACACGGAAGGCGGGCGGGCGGACGGGCGGGTGGCGGGGTTGCGGATCCGGATTTGAATCGACTCTTTGCGGATTCTCTCTTGCAGCGGGAGCCTGTTGTGTCTTGGGTATTGTCTTGGAGGCGGAAGCTGTTGAGTACAAGGTGCTTTCTTGGAGATGGAGGTTGTTCCCTCAAGATGAACTCGGGCAGGTCATTTCGGGGAGCCGCACGGAAATGCGAATAGTAAGAATGTTGCGTTGAGGGTCTTGAACGGACTATACCCACACATATGTGTGGGCTCATTTGTTTCACAGATACATGTTATATAAATACATGTGTGCATTTCTATACACATACAGCTGAGCAGACTAGGCAAGTAAATGCCGTTACCAATTCGTCGCCGTATGCATCGTCTCCTGCTCCGCCTCTTGCCAGCAACCCCGTCGACACCTTCGGTGTCGACGCGTTCCCCCTCCCCTTTCATTGGCACACCGGGTGCGATGAATCATCCGCGGCGTCAGGGCGCCCGGGCATAGAGATGCGCGGGCAAGCAATCGAGCACTCGCCAGGTCGGGCAAGACAGAGCCCCAGTACCACCCACCGTCATCATCAGACACATCCATCCTGAGAGAGAGGATAGAAAACGCGACAGCGTGGCTCCCAGGCGAGTCGGAGAGGCGAGACGGGATCGGGATGTTCTCCTCCTCCTCCTCCTCCTCCTCGTCCTCCTCGTCCTCCTCGTCCTCCTGCTGCTCCTCCTCCTCCTCCTCCTCCTCCCCCTCGTCCTCCCCCTCCTCCTCCTCCTCCTCCTCCTCCTCCTCCTCCTCCTCCTCCTCCTCCTCCTCCTCCTCCTCCTCTTCCTCCTCCCCCCTCCCTCCGCCCTCCTCCCCAGCCCGCGCGCCCCGCCCCCTGCCTGCGGAGGTCCCTCCTCGGCCTGCAGGCCCTTCCCTAGCCTGCGGGCCCCCCTCCCTCGCCTGCGGGCTCCATCACCATCACCATCACCATCACCATCACCCTCCTCCTCCTCCTCCTCCTCCTCCTCCTCCTCCTCTTCTTCCCCACCGGGCTGCGGCCCGCCCCGCAGAGCCAAGTCCTCAGGGACAACGCCCCCGCCCCCGTGCCCCGCTCCGATGGCCTGTGGGCCCTGCGGGGTGGCGGCACGCGGCGCAGGGTGGCCGCTACCCCGCGGGGTACAGACGCTTGCGGATAGCTCAGCGGATAGCTCCCTCCTCCCTCCTCTTCCTCCTCTTCCTCCCCCCCTTCCTCCCTCTCCTCCTATATCTGTCTCCTTTTCCTTCTCTTGACTCCTCCCTCTACCTTGTCTTCGCCATTCTCCCTCCCTTCTTCCTGCTCCTGCTTTTTCCTTGCTGTCCTCCCTCCCCCCTCCTCCTTCCCCCATGCCCCCACCTCTCCTAGCTCTGCTCCCTCCTCCCCCCCTCCTACCCCCCTCCCATCCCCCTCCCCCTCCTTCCGCCCGCCTCTGTCTCTTCGACGACCAATACGACTACGAGTACGACGACTGCTGCTACTACGACTGTTGCGAATCGCACTATTACTACAAGGGCTTCAGCACTCATATGCTTGATACTGTTCGCTCTCATCTGCTCGCGTACCAATCAGCATGTATACCACAGACCCTCGATACCTGCCCTGCTCGTCTTCGAGCGTGCCCCCTTGGGGGAATAGTTTCTTTACCTGCGGCACGTAGTTGGCGCAACCGACCCTTCAAAACAGGTAGAGGAGGAAGGCAGGAACAGATACCGACGAGGAGAGGAGGGCGGGAAGGGAGGACAGAGGGAATGGGCAAGGGGTATGGAGAAGGATGGAACACCAGAGAGATTAGCAGGAGCGTGCTTGGAGCAGGAAAGCAAGCCGCAGAACCAGACTGGTGGGTCGGCCAGGTGTACCATAACGGGGGCGGGTCGGGCGGGCGGGCCCAGCCGGCCAGGTCGAGTGGGCGGCTCGCTGAAGAGTCAGTCCTTCATGAACCGTAGAGACGTCTCGAGCGACAGCTCGGTTCCCAAGTAAATCGTGAGGAAGCCCACGGCGAGACCTTGCTTCCTGCGTGTCGAGGTCGTGGCGCCTGCATCCATTGCGAAGAAGTCCCAAGCCCACGCGAGAGCACGATGCCTAGATAAACTCAGGAGGGGAGAAACACACAGACACAATTAATCCTCGACTCCCCAGGAAATATAGGAAAATATTGGAAGTGGGGGGGAAGACAGAAACCCAGAAAATATAGGAAAATATTGAGATTCCTGTTATGTGTGTATTTATTGGTGTGTTTGTGGGCCCCTTCATGGAGAAGTATCAGACAGGAGCAGTTGTTGAATACCCATTTCTACCGAATACTTGTCGCCGCTACATTCTCTCTGAAAACGGGGCTCCCGCGCGAGCGTTGGCTTGGGGTGTACATGTGTACCCCTGGAGGCCTGGCTACAAGGCAACTGCTCCCGCTCGATACTTTCTCACAATTGTCCCCGAGCGAGACACACTGGCCAGAGAGGCTCCCTAACTCAGGAACTGCGCTCTCGCTCGAGACTTCCTCGCAAGTCAGTCAAGTTGGCGGAGGCCCAGCCACGACGACGAGGGCTCCTGCTCGATACTTCCTCACGATTTACTCTGAGAGCCCCTGGCCAGGAAGGCCCCCGAACTCAGGAACCTCGCTCACGCTCGAGAACTTCTTATGATTCAATCAGAGTGGTGGAGGCCGAACTACGACGACAAGGGCTCTCGTGCGATAAGTCCGCAAGATGTGTTCGCAAAGGCCCTTGCCAGAGAGGCCCTCGAACTCAAGAGTGGCGCTCTCGCTCGAGACTTACCTGTACTTCAGGCAAGTTGGTGGAGGCCCAGACACGGCGACAAGGGTTCCCTTTCGATATTTCTCCATATGTATTCCGAGGGCCCCTGGCCAGGAAGGCCCCCGAACTCAGGAACGTCGCTCTCGCTCGAGGGGTCTTCGCATTTCAGTCAGTGGCCGACAGGGAAGATATTCACCCCGAAAGGGGGCGCAATCGAGGACGAAGTGGGCCGGTATCGAGGGTTGGGGTATACAGAATGCAAGTCACGCGTGCCAGTAAGAGCGAACAGTCTTGAAATGTTTGTTTTTGTTGTCGTTGTTGTACACCAGGGGCCGGCAACTGAGTCTGAGGCGCAAGACGTCCCTTGATAAAATCAGGGTGCGAGCCCCAGAAGGGGCACTTCAACTGAACACCACATATGGTGCCGCGCGGGGGGATCAGCAATATTTTTGTTGTATCGGCATTCGAGTTCAACTACTGTATTATCATACGTACCATTACTCCCACAATTACTGCTACGGTTAGTTTGTCTTCTTCGATTGCTACGATTACCCGCACAACCGCTTTTACTACTGATGTCAGCACGGCCGCGACTAATGCAATTGGCGCTATCCGCATTATTATTTTTACGCTGGCTACAACGACAGCGACTACATTTACTACTACGACTTATACCATTGCTACCTCCTCCACCATCATTCTCACTACTACGACTGCAAGCGTAAGGATGTTTATTATTATTCGTAGCATTACAGCAACTACTGGCTGCTAACTACTAGCTGCGAGCTGCTACCAGACATTACGACTACGACGCATACTATTAGCATTAATGGCGCAATGCCAACACAACGACTACAGCTTGTACGACGGCCCGCCATCACTACTACTCTCGTTTGTACAACTACTTCTCTCATTACTATCACGGCGGCGACGACGACAACGACGACGATGACAACGACGACGACGACGACGACTACTATTATTACTACTACTACTACTACTATTACTACTACTTCTACTATTATTACTACTGATACTACTACTACTACTACTACTCTACTATTACTACTACTACTGCTACTACTACTACTACTATACTACTACTACTACTACTACTACGACTACTACAACTACTGCTACTGCTACGACTACTACTACTACTGCTACTACTACTACTACTACTACTACGACTACTACTACGACTGCTACTACTACGACTACTACAACTGCCACTGCTAATACTACCATTACTACTACTTTTATTATTACTACTACCACTACCACTACTACTACTAGTACTACTACTACTGCTGCTACTACTACTACTACTACCACTACTACTACTACTACTACTACTACTACCACCACTAGTACTACTACTACTACTACTACTACTACTACTACTACTTACGACTACGACTACGACGACTACTACTACTACTACTACTACTACTACTACTACTACTACTACTACTACTACTACTACTACTACTACTACTACTACTACTACTACTACTACTACTACTACTACTACTACTACTACTGACTTACTGACTACTACTACTACTACTACTACTACTACTACTACTACTACTACTACTACTACTACCTACTACTGACTACTACTACTACTACTACTACTACTACTACTACTACTACTACTACTACTACTACTACTACTACTACTACTACTACTACTACTACTACTACTACTACTACTACTACTACTACTACTACTACTACTACTACTACTACTACTACTACTACTACTACTACTACTACTACTACTACTACTACTACTACTACTACTACTACTACTACTACTACCTACTACTACTACTACTACTACTGACTACTACTACTACTACTACTACTACTACTACTACTACTACTACTACTACTACTACTACTACTACTACTACTACTACTACTACTACTACTACTACTACTACTACTATACTACTACTACTACTACTACTACTACTACTACTACTACTACTACTACTACTACTACTACTACTACTACTACTACTACTACTACTACGACTACCACTACCATAACCACGACCATTAATTACCACCGCCACTGCTACTACTACTACTACTACTACTACTACTACTACTACTACTACTACTACTACTACTACTACTACTATCACTACTGCGACTAGCTACCACTACGACGACGGCGTGCGCGCTGGCGACGTCGGCTACCACGACGGCCTGCACGAGGGCCGCGATAACGGCCACCACGACGACGAGCACGAAGACGCGGGAGGGTTTGCCAGGCGCGCTCCTGTTCTTCCTCCTGGGCGCTGCCGTCCTGGCCCTGCTGTCGTTCGTGTACTACCTCGTCAACCCCGTGTTCGACCGGGTGCCCTCTGGGCGCACGCCGCGGCTTGACGACTACCTGAAGGAGGGCCCGCGCGGAGGAGGACGTACGAGGGCGGGCGGGGGGGAGGAGGAGGAGGTGGAGGAAGAGGAGGAGGAGGAGGAGGAGGAGGAGGAGGAGGAGGAGGTGGAGGAAGAGGAGGAGGAGGAGCAGGGGGTTGCTGGGCGTGCTCTCTCGCACCTACCAGGTCTTCGCGGCGCAGGGGGCACTCTCAGCGCGGGCGCCAGCGCGGCCGTCGGCGATAGACCCGCGCGGCGGTCCCTGCACGAGGAGGACGAGGACGAAGCAGGAGGGACGGAGGGAGGAGGGGAAGGTGGGAGGAGGCTCTGGGGAAGAGGAGGAGGGCTGAGAGACGGGGGGGGGGAGGGAAGAGAGAGGAGGAGGACCATCACAGCTTGAGGGGGGAGGCCAAGGGCTGGCCGACCCGACCCAACCCGATGCCTCAGGCCCCGACGGCCTGGGGTTACCTCACCGATCCGCTCTGCCCTCGCTCGCTGCCCCTCAGGCTCCGCAGTTGAGCTGTGCGGCGGGAGTGGGGCGGGATAAGCGGCTGGCGACCTTCAAAGTGCTCTTAGGATGAAGGCTTGTCGAGAACTTGCTCTGGAAGCGCTTCTTGCGATCACCTTTGGGCCCCTTCATAGTGCTCTCCGTGTACTGATCGCACCGGCGACACCACATTGAAAGACTCAACACTAAGATCGTGCTGCTTGGCAGCACGAACAAGGGAGGACGCGACAATCGAATTGCCTGTGCACGCTTGGCGCGACGCTTCCTCGAACTGGCGTTCTGGGCTCGCGTGTGGCAAAGCAGGCAAATCCGAGGCTCGTTCAGCCGCGCCCACTGGTGCTCGACGAGGGGAGCCACCCAACTCTTCCCCGTAATCCTCCAAACATTTTACGACAACCCAGAGCTTTTTGTAATTCATCTCATCTTCACCGGGTGACGAATTCTGTGACGTGGCGAAATCAGACGGCCATGTTCCTGACACTACTTTTCCCAAGTGGCAAATGTGATATGACCAGCCATGTTGGGAAGACGCGTCTGTCTCTATTACTCGAATGGCGCCTGCTTCTGCCAATTCCTGCCACCGAGAAAACTCTGGAGACACTGGCTCTGGCGCCCCTCCAGGGCCCCCTGGCCGGGGCGGGGGCTGCACCCTCACGTGGTGGCGGCCCCCGCGGCCTCGACAGGAGGGTCGGGGCTCTGGGCTGGCCTGTGGTGAGCCTTCTTCCACGAAGGATTGCAAAAAAACCCAATGATTGCAACAAAAACCCTTTTGCAATCCTTCGTCTGCGGCGAGGGCGGGGCCCACAGAGACGGATCGTCTGGGGCACCTGGAGCAGAAGAACGTACTCTTCACCTGCGACGGCTGCCGCAAGACCAAGCTGAAGTCCAGTGAGAGGGACCTGGGAGGACGACACCGTCAGGGACCTCCTGGCCAGCAGCGGGCCTCAGGCATGGACAAGGATCAAGGCCGCCGCAGCCTTTGCCATCCTGTCCGAAAAGTCGCTGCCTCTCGCGACGAGCCAGTTCCCTAGAGCGCGCCCCGATGGTATTGAGATGCTGGTAGGCCTTGAGTTTGGCCATCTCCAGGTGTTTGAAACTAGACTGGGCCGAAATCCGTTCAGGCCTAGGTTTCTCCAGGGCAGGACAAAGCAGCCAGAAGTCTTAATGCTCTGCGGTGTGTGAGGCCGGGAGCAAATCAGCCCCCACCGGGCCAGAGAGACACTCGATCAGGTCACCTTCGTCGTCGATTCTGACCGCGGACCAGGCTGGCACATCGCAAACACGATGCCCAGGTGTCAAAGCAGTGCCGTCGTGGAATGCTTCGCGGTGTATAGCTGCTTCTGTTGGCTGGTCATCTCTGATGCAGCTTGTTCTTATCCGAAGCCTGGCGGCCTCAGGGCGGTGGGCTCAGGGGCCGTCAGGAAGCCTAGCACGAGCGGGAGCCAGGCCTTGTCTTGCAGGGTCTCCAGGTCCTCGGTGTCCAGATTCTCCATCCCGAGGGCTTCCGCCTCTGGGCACTTTACTAACCTGCGTGGGAGGGAGTCTTGAGGGCCTCCGCAACCTGGGCAGACCATGTCCCCCTCATACCTTGCAGCCGCTGCATTTCTCCTCAGTCCAGATGCACTGGCATGCATATGATCAGAGCGCCTTCCTCATCTGCGCTGGCATAGCCTCGTTGTGCCGCGTCCGCTGCAGCTCTGGCGTGTCCAGGTCCAGCCGGTCCTGCAGACCGAGCCTGGCTGCCGCCTGCCTGTCCAACTGCTGCTGCCATTGGTCATGACATATTGTAGTGGCCTCCGGCCAGTGCCGCCGATCCGGGGCGCTCCGGGTGCCTGTGGAAATGAACGACGACGAGGAAGACGAAAACGACGACGAAAACGAATACGTCGACGACGACGACGACGAGAGCGACGACGACAACGACCACGACGACGACGACGACGACGACGACGACAACGGCGATGACGACGACAACGACCACAACGACGACGACGACGACGACGACGATGATGACGCGAGCGACGACGACGACGACGACGACGACGACGACGACGACGACGACGACGACGAACGACGACGACGACGACGACGAGGACTACGACGACGACGACGACGACGACGACGACGACGACGACGACGACGACGACGACGACGACGACGACGACGACGACGACGACGACGACGACGACGACGACGACGACGACGACGACGACGACGACGACGACGACGACGACGACGACGACGACGACGACGACGACGACGACGACGACGACGGGGGGGGAGCTGGGTTGCAGTGGGGGGGTCTGCTCTGCAGGGGGGGGGGGTCCGCTCGGCAGAGGGAGGGACTGCAGGGGAGAGGGGGGGTCCGCTCTGCAGGGGGGGGGGAGGCTGCAGGAGGGGGGGTCTGCTCTGCAGGGGGGGGGTGCAGGGGGGGGGCGCAGGAAGGGGGGGTCTGCTCTGAGGGGCGGGGGGGGGGCCCCCCCAGGGGAGGGGGAGGGTGGGGTCGGCGCTCGCAGGGGGCGGGGATGCTGGGGGGGTCCGACTCTGCAGGTCAAGGGGGGGGCTGGGCTGCAGGGGGGGGGGGTGTCCGCTCGGCAGGGGGAGGGCCCAGACCTGTGCACGAGGGGGGGTCTGCTCTGCAGGGGGGGGGGGTGCAGAGGAGGGGGGGGGGGGCGCTCTGCAGGGGGGGGGGCGGCTGCAGGGCCGCCTCCGCTATGCAGGGGGGGGGGTCTGCTCTGCAGGGGAGGGGGTGCAGGGAAGGGGGGGGAGGGTCTGCTCTGCAGGGGGGGGGAGGCTGCAGGGGGGGGGTCCGCTCTGCACGGGGGGGTGGCTGGGCTGCATGCAGGAGGGGAGGGGGAAGGGCGCTCTGCAGGGGGGGGGTCCGCTCCGGAGGGGGGTGGGGTGCGAAGCACTGAAATAGGTCGGAAATGCGGCCCCCCCCCCCCCCACCCCACTGCGAAGCACTGAATTAGGTCGGAAATGAGGTCCCCCCCCCCCCCGCAGAGCGAAGCTTGAGCGAGTCAAGCCCACGCTCTCAGAAACTCACACGCCGGATCGGCGGATTTGTTTGACGAGGGTGGGGGAGGTGGTGACGAGGGTGAAGTCCTGGCCGCTCAAGTCCCGGGCAGGAGCAGGTCGGGCATGTCTCGCCCCACATACGCCTGAGGCTGAGGCTCGTGGCCCCCTCTTAGCTGGTGCCAGAGCTGGGGAGGGCTGGTGAGGACCTGCCGAGCCGTGGACCTGTGCTCGGGAATCGCACACTGGCAAGTAACTGGCAGGTGAGCCAAGGAGGAGGAGGAGGAGGAGGAGGAGGAGGAGGAGGAGGAGGAGGAGGATGAGGAGGAGGAGGAGGAGGAGGAGGAGGAGGAGGATGAGGAGGAGGAGGAGTAGGAGGAGGAGGAGGAGGAGGCGGAGGAGGAGGAGGCACTCTCCAGATCAGCTTCGCCCCATACTTTGCTGGCCAGAGGGCGGCGCTCCAAGGGCCCCCAGCACCGCGAGCGCAATCTTCCGAGACCCGGCAGCGCATCGGGGCCCCGCTGTCTTGAGGCAGAGGGCTCTGGCACCCCGCAGCTCTGGGTTCGTGAGGCCCAAAATCTGGGTGCCATAGCAGGCTGCTGCTTTCAAACCGGTCTGATAAACCTTACGCGTCTTAGCACCTGCGCGTTTGAGATGCTCCAAACGGTGGAGTCTCCTTTTCATCTCGATTTCGTGATGGTGCCCCGAGCCTTTTGGGAAATACGGTTGCCCATGGTGAAGTCGACTCCCAGATTGGTGCAGACGATTCTTGCTTTTCTTCCAGGGGTCCACTGTACTTGCCGAGCGACTTGGCAAGCTTCTGCTGCACCCTGGCCGGCGAACCGAGCACAGCGGCCTGGTGCAGCGCGACGGAGCAATCGAGGTCTTCCTCGATCAAATCTAAGATGCTGTCGGCGCCACGCGCCAGGTCCGACACCAAGATAATTGTCTTAGCGCTGCGGCTGGTGTGCATAAGCTCATCTAAGTCTATGAAGACCGAGGGGTCCACATTTGGGTTCTAGGGGGTCCAGGAGTCCATGGGGGGCACCGCGTACACCTGCGCGTCAAATGTAGCGAAAGAGCACCCGGCAAGAACACATTCACTAGCACAGCCGTTCGAGATAGCCAATGTCTGAGTGGCCACCACTCTGGGCCCCCATATTGGTTCGTCATGGGGCAGACGTGGGTCTCCGAGAATACCCCATCCAAGGCCCTACACTTCACTCGCTTCGGTTCAGATAGATCCTCGTAATGATTCGAGAGGTCCCACGTCATACCACCAATGTGGGCGCACTACTGTTGATACCCGGTGATTTCAGCCTGGAGGGCCTTTGGGCGCCGCGTAATGGGGGGGTCATAAATGGGGGGGCGGCGAGGGTGGTCCGAAAAGGTACCCAAACTGTACCTAAACGAGCCCCCTGGGGCTCTGGAGGGGCCCGAACGGGGAACGAAAGGGGACCTTTTCTGACCCCCCCATTTGTGACCCCACAATTAAGCCACGCCCAACGCCTGCGCATAAACGGTTTGCAGCACACCGCGACCAGACTGATGGGCTAAGTAAGTACGCTTGGTAGCCCTTTCCTGCCTCCGAGCCGGACGGAGGAGGAGGAGGATGAGGAGGAGGGGGAGGAGGAGGACGAGGAAGAGGAGAAGAAGGAGGAGGAGGAGGAGGAGGAGGAGGAGGAGGAGGAGGGGCAGGAGGAGGAGGAGGAGGAGGAGGAGGAGGAGGAGGAGGAGGAGGAGGAGGAGGAGGAGGAGGGAGGAGGGAGGAGGACAGGGGAGGGCGGGAGGCGGAGGAGGAATCAGATAAGGAGGAGACCCCCTGTCTCTTCCGCCTCACATGTCTTGCCGCCTCCGCCCGCCTGGATCAGAGGGGGCCGCAAGGGACAGCGCCTCGTGGCGCCCCCCCCCCACCCCCTGCTGCGCTGGCCCGCAGACCCTTCGGGAGCCGACACGAACCAGAGGCTCGAACCAGAGGCTCCCTTTCCACCTCCCCCTCCTCCTCCCCCTGCTGTCCCTCGGTCCCCACCTCCCCCCTTGCCCTCCCGCGCCTCGTGCTCCTCTTGCTGCTCACGACCACGGCAACGGCGCCGCTGACGGCGCACCCTTCCGACATCCAAGAAGCCGTCCTACAAATCAGCCAGGCGCCTCTGGGAAGGCCCTGGCCTCCCGAGAAGCCCCTCCCCGCCTTCTCGGAAGGCCGCCCCCCTCGCCCCACCCCAAAAGCGCCCGCCGCGCGCTCGTGCCAAGTCGACGGCGAGGGGGGCACGCCGCGCGAGCGCCCCGAGGAGAACCTGCCCGGCAGCAGGGACCCGCGCGACAAGCCGCCCGGCAACTACGGGGGGCGGCCCCCGCCGGCCGGCGGCCGCAGGCCCGATCGCCGCCGCCGTCCGCGCCGCCTCCGCCGTGCGGTCAGCGCCGCTTCGGCCGCGCGGTCAGCGCCGTTGCCGCCGTCGCTGTCGGCGGCGCCGCTGCCGTCACCGCCAGCGCCGCCGCCGTCGGGGCTGCTCGTCTTAAGATTCCCTGCCGCCGCCGCCGATGCCGCCGCCGATGCCGCCCCCGCCGCCGCCGCCGCGCTGCCGCCGCCGCCGCTGCCGGCGCCGGCGCCGCCGTCGCCGTCGCCATTGTCGCCGTCCTGCGCCGTTGCCCTTTGTCGTCGCCCTTGTCGTCGCCCCCCGTCGTCGCCGTCGTCGTCGCCCGCGTTCGCCCGCGTCGTCAAATCTCGTCGCCCTCGCTCTCCCCCCAGATCCGACGTTGTGACCAAATCACAGCAAAAGCCCTGGACCCCATCTCCCCGCGGCATTTTCCGAGCTGGATCCATCCGTCAGGGTCCGGCAGCCAGAGACAAGGCGAACCCGCCCGCTGCGAAAATAATACAAAAATATGACGCTAGGATCCCGGGGTTCGTTGTCGTCGGCGTCGGCGTCGTCGTCGTCATCGTTGGCGCCGTCGTCGTCGTCGTCGTCGTCGTCGTCGTCGTCGTCGTCGTCGTCGTCGGTGCTGTCGTGGTCGTCGTGGTCGTCGTTGCCGTCGTCGATTCCGTCGTTGTCGTCTTTGTCGTCGGTGCCGTCGTCGTCGGTGCCGTCGTCGTCGTCGTCTTGGGTGCCGTCGTCGTCGTCGTCGTCCTCGTCCTCGTCGTAGGCGTCGTCGTCGTCGCCGTCGCGCCCTCGTCGAGCCCGGCGGCCGCGGGGCAGCAGAGGGGCCCTGCCGACCTGAAGCGCCTGCGCCTGTTGCCGGTGACGTCGCCCGGGGAGCTGTGGGAGGCGTACACGTTCGCCACGGGGCAGATCGTCGAGGAGGCCCCGAGGGAGGAGGAGGAGAGGGGGAGGGGAGTAGGAGTTGGAGGAGCAGGATCGATGAAGGGGAACCGATGAAGGAGGAGGACGAGGAGGATCGATTGAGTAGGGTCGAGGAGGCCCCTAGGAGGAGGAGGAGGAGGAGGAGGAGGAGGAGGAGGAGGAGGAGGAGGAGGAGGAGGAGGCGAGTATCGAAGTTGATTTTCGCTTGGAGGAGGGCCCGTCGAGACAACGACGGCCCTCCCTGGCGTCCTTCCTCTTTTGGGGGGGCCTCCTTACGGCTTACTGTCGCCTCCGCTGGATCCGACTCGAAAAGCGGGTCAGGATGGACCACGTGAGGGGCCTGAGGACCGATTTTAAGCGGATTCGAGCGGAGGTTCGAGGACCGACCGAAGCTTCGCTCGACAATCCCGCAAGGATCTCCGAACGTCTACGGATGTCTATGGCGGTTCCTCTTCCCAAGCAGTGGCGAGGCGTCCTGGCTTGCCTATCGGCCCACCAAAATGTTCTGAGACCCTGTTGTGTCTTGGAACACATCTGGCTGAGACCGTGTTTTTCAGCCCTCGTCTCTCTGGTCCAAGGACACTGTTGCCTGTTTGTGGAACCTTCGTCTGCTCTACGAGCGCGTCGTGGCAGGCCCATGGGAATGCCCGGACGGTCGGTCCCTGCTCAGCCTTCTGCTCGCGAGAGCCCGTCCGAGGACCGGGGTTGTTCAGGAGGGGAAAACACACAGACACAATGAATCGCCGGTTCTCAAGGAAATGTGCAAACATATGGGAAGTGGGGGGGGAAGAGAAACAACCCATATATGTATATATATGGGAAAATATAGGGAATACTTTTATGTGTATGTATTTAGTTATTTATTTATTTGTTTATTTATTTATTTATTTATTTATTTTATTTGTTTATTTATCTATTTATTTATTTGTATATCTATATATGTGTGTGTGTCCTGGGGCCCCTTCAGTTGTGCTCGCCCTGTCTGGCGCCGCCGCGGGGGGGCTCTCCGCGCCCCCCGCGGGCGGGGCCCGCCTCCGAAGCTCTGGATGCTGGCTCGGCTGCCGCGCCGCAGGTGGTCGCGGAAGCCCGAGGATCAAATCGGCGGCGAGCGAGGGGCCCAGACCCCATCGCGTCGTGACAAAAATCACGACGGAAGGTTTTTCGCTATTTTCGCCCTCTGGAGGTCCTCACCGGGCCTCGGGACCGTGAAAAAACAACTCAGGATGGAAAACCGGTCCCGGGGAAAGGGTCCAGATTTCTGGGGGTCGCGTCATGAAAAAATCATGACCTCGGGGGTCTGGGGGGGGAGATGAGAAGGAGAAGGCCTTCTCAGAAGGCGGCGGGACTTCTCAGAAGGCCTCCGGCCTTCTGAGAAGCTTCTTCTGTCCTCGGGGGAGGCTTGGAAAACTTCTCAGAAGTCCCCGGGAACCTCCGAGCCTTCTGAGGAGGCCTTTCTCCCTTCCCCCCCTGGGCGCGCCGCCTGTCACAACAGACTGTTCGAGGGTCGAGGTTCTCTTCGCCCCAGTCGCCGTGTTAAGAACATACCTTTTCGCCGATGGGCGCGGGCCCCCGCCCCCCTGCACCCCCCGCCCCCGCCCCCGCCGCCCCTTCGACCAGATCTTGGCTGCTTCCGGCGGCTGCCTTGGGGCAACTGGTCCGGACCCCCCCCCCCGCCTGCTTGTGCGGATCGACTGGGCCCGGGCCCAGACTCGGGCCCCACCTTTTTCCTCACCCTTCGGTCACGTGTCGAAGCCCAGAAAAACCAACGCCTACCACAAAATAAAAAAAAACAGAAAAGAAACAAAAAAGAACGCCTACCCGTCCGTGGCCGCCAAAGAGGCCCCCCTCGCGCCGCAGATCATGGCATGGCCTGGGCAGGGGGGGCCGCGAGGAGCGGTGCAACACTGCAGCAATCGTGTCCTGGTGCGCTGAGCCGTGCGCAAATACAATACCGTTTTTAATACATGCTCCGCGTGCGGATCATGTATTAAAAATGCAGGGATTTAGAAAAACAGCGAGGAGTTCATCATCAATGTATTCATACATTAATGATGTATTAAATTCATATTTCGTAATCCCATGTATTCAGAACTGCCCTGTACTGCGGGGGGGGGCACGAACTGTTGCATGGGGCGAGCTGTACAACCGCACCCGCGCGCACCTGTTGCATCCGGCGCGCAAACAGCCGCATCAAGGCACAAACTGCTTCAAGCAGTAGTGCACCCGATCTGAGCAGGAGGCTCGAGGATCGAGGGGCTTCGGGGGCACGGTCTCGGGGATCGACTGTTTCGACGGCCTGGTCATGTCGTTTGGTCGTGTCGTTTGTCATGCCGTTTGTCCACGCAGCGCATGCCCACTTCCCGCGCACGGGTCAGCGCCCGACCCGATGTTACCATGCTGAGCGGCCGCTCAAGCTCTGCCCGGCATCGTGCAGCGTGCTGCTTTGGCGCACTATTCACGTTACTGCCGTCAGGGAAAAGTCTGCATCCATCTCTCTAACCCCTCTCCTCCCTCTTCCTCGTCCCTCCTCGTTGTCTTTTCTCTCCCTTCCTTTCCTTCCACTTCTCCTCTTCGTTCTCCTCTTTTGCTTCTGTCTCCATCCTTCATGTGCTAATGCTGCGTGGTCCGACTCGTTATCCTTTCGAGTGTCGATCCATAACGTCCCTCCTTTTCCTCCGTCGCCTTCCTCTTCGCTCTTCCTCTCCCTCCCTACTCCTTTCCCTTCCATCCCTTCTCCCCGCAAAGGACTCCCCTTTGTCGAGCCCGGCGTCTCGCTTGAGGCTTCCCCACCACGTTCGAAACTGGCGCCGAAACTTCGCAACAGTTTCACGAAGGGAGGGCGGGCCGTCTGGAAGAGGTGGGTCTCGCCGTGGCCCCGCGCACACTCGTTGGATACGTCTGCACGAACCTCACGGGCGGAGGGCGACCCCGTTTTTCAAAGCCATGGTTCTCGCCTCCGCAGCGCGCGCGGTCGTCCTAAGATATCGCAGGGGCTTCGCGGGTGGGATGGCGGTGCTCGTTCGAACTGTTTTCTCTCGCCCTGGCGCCGCGCGCATTCGTCTTGAGAGCTTACGGCAGGTTAGCGGATTCTCATGGTTGACGTCCCCAACATTTTGTTTTGGCACGATGTGAGGATGTCCGGGCGCAACAGTCATGTTGATTCGCGGTCAGGACGCAGAAGTAACGTTGATTCGCGGCGTTGAAGTACCAAGAATGGTGTTCTTGCACGGCTCACGATTTTGCAGATGGTTGTCTTTCATTGGGGCCCTTCCCTCAGTGAACATGGGTCCGCATAGGGACACTTGGAAGGGACTTTGGAGGGAGTTTTTTATGTTTGATGAGTCTTGGGTTTGCACTGGTCTTCCTCCCTCCTCCTTCTCCTCTTCCTTCTCCTCCTCCTCCTCCCTCCCTCCTCCTCGCTCCGCCATTCTCCCTCTCGCCCTCCCCCCCTCTCGGTCCCCCTCCCTCCCCCTCTTTCCTCCTTATCCCATCATCCCTCCCTCCTCCTCGTCCTCCCTCCCCTTACTTGCCCTCCTCCTCCTCCTCCTCCTCCTCCTCCTTCTCATCATCATCATCATCATCATCATCATCATCATCATCATCATCATCATCACCACCATCATCATCATCATCATCACCATCATCATCATCATCATCATCGTCATCATCATCATCATCATCATCATCATCATCATCATCATCATCATCATCATCATCATCATCATCATCATCATCATCATCATCTGCAGCATCATCGTCATCGTCATCGTCATCGTCATCCATCCTCCACATTTCTCCTCATCACCCGCTATTCATGGTGCCCATCTTGCTGCTGTTCCCCCCCCCCCCAGGTCCCGAGCATGGCCTTCGAGAGGAACTACCTCAACCGCATGGTCCTGCAGGCCGCCTCCTTCCCCAAGGTCTACAGGGACTGGGAGACCTACGAGGGCTGCGCCGTCGAGGAGTGGGTCGTCGACGGCCTCCCCAGACCTCCGACGATGTGCTTTTTCAATCCGGGTGTTTTCCCTCGCTTTGGGCCTGCGGCCCGCTACCGGTCCGCAGGACCATCACAAACGGATCCAGGACGAAAAGCCAGCCCCGGGGAAGGGGTCAGGACGTTCTGGGGCGCGGATTGACAACATCGTATTGTCGGATGTCTGGGTCGTCATCTTCCGCCTCCTCCTGCTCTTGTTGTGCTAGTGCCAGCGGGCAAAGGCTGGCCATCCTCCTGAGGCGGTATAGGAATTGGGGGGACCGAGATGGGTACAAAGACAAAGGGTACAACGTCCGGCAGCAGTTCTTGCTCATTCGAACCGGATTCGTTGTCGGCGTCGCCGCGGTCGCTGCCCACAGGGGGAACAAATTCGCCTGCCCAACAGCTGCCGCTGTCATATTGGATAATATGTGTTGTTGGGCATCGTACACCCATCAGACGTCTTCAGGAAAAAACAGCATTTTCCATGAACTACAGATTTCGGTCAAGACAATCCAGAATCAGGACTGGACCCTGGGCGTTTTGCTAGGTCGTCTTTTATTGCAGAACTCTCGCATCTCTGGACCTGGACCGCTGTTCAAGAAAACGCTCGGCGCGAAGATGTTGTTCTTGGCGTAGAGCTCTCTTGTCGATGAGCAGTGGCGCACAGTGTTCTGGACCCTCAGCTGGTCATCGTGCCCATTATTGTCCGTACCACTGTCGGGCGTCGAAGAGGAGGGGGCCTGGCCTTCGAGGGGTCGCGGCCCGCGGAAGGGGGAGGTGCGCGCCCGAGCGCATGGGCATGCGCAGCGCCAAAACACGGTGACAATGGTGATGAGGAGGAGGAGGGGGAGGAGGAGGGGGAGGAGGAGGGGGAGGAGGAGGGGGAGGAGGACGAGGAGGTGGATGAGGAGGAGGAGGAGGAGGCGGAGGAGAAAGAGGAGGGCGACGAGGGCGAGGGTGAGGATGAGGAAGGCGAAGGAGGAGGATCTGGATGAGAAGAGAGGAAGAGCGGGATGAGAACGAGATGGAGACGGGGCGGTGGAGGACGAGGAGGGGGAGGCGGATGTGGAGGAGGAGGGGATGCCCACATTGTTGTACCCAGGGCTTGCGGAACGAGCCAGCGGCGCCGCATGGTGCCCTTCCAGTACCTCCTCCTCCGTCTCCCTCCTCCTCCCCCTCCTTCTTCTCCTTCGTCTCCCTCTTCCTCCTTCGATCCTCCTTCTCGATGATGATCCTCCTCCTCCTCCTCCTCCTCCTCTCCTCCTCCTCCTCCTCCTCCCCCTCCTCCTCGATCCTCCTCCTCGGTTCTCCTCTTCCCTCCTCCTCCTCCTCCTCCTCCTCCTCCTCCTCCTCCTCCTCCTCCTCCCCCTCCTCCTCCATCCTGCTCCCATGTTGGCTCAAGACGGAGCCTACGTCCCGTCCCGGCTCCAGAGGCCCGAAGCCGAGTTGGAAGGGCAGCCCCTTCCTCAGGCCTGGCTGCCTCTGCCAGGTTTTTCGCGATCAATCTCTGTCACTTTCTTCTCTTGCTGGTCGCCGCGGCAAACGGCCAGCCAGTCTCCCAGCCTTCATGGGGTGCCAGAATCAGTGGAAGGGACAGTACTGTCAGAAGCCAGGTTGCTGGGGATGGACCTGGCAAACACACGGTGGTCACAAGCATTGTTCAGAATGTGGAAACACCCAGGTGCATGCGATGGCAGCGGCAGCCCGCAGCAGCAGCAGCGGCAGCAGGACAAGCGCAATCGTTGGTCCCGCAGCTGCACCCGGGGTCCCAACTACAAAGGATGGTTCCGAGTCGTCCCCCGTACAGGAGGTCCCCGACCCAGCCAACGATGATGTCTCCATGTGTAACCGGGCGGTCAATTTTATGCAAGCAGAACATCCAGGCCGGGCAGGAAGACAAGCAGTACATCCAGGCCTGCGAAGAGCTCCGTCTTGCCAAGGCGAAAGCCCTCGAGGGCAAGTCTTTGGATGCCAAGGCCCAGCCCCTTGCTGATTAACGCCAACGGCAGCGCAGACGTCTGGAATCCAAACATGGCGACGTCGAGAAGAAACTCACCAAGTCGCATTCCGAAGTGCAGTCGGAGGTGCAGTAGCTGGAGGCCCAGCACAGCGCGGCGGCCAAGGCTACGGTGGCAGAGGCGGCATCCCGTCTCAACGGCTCATCTGAGCCCGCTACCCCGGTTAAAATTGTGGGTGCCAGGTTCCCGGATTGCCTGCCATCCAGCATCAAGCAGGAGCTCGAGAATGTCGATGCGAAGCTCAAGAGGGGGTGGAAGCAGATGCAGCGACAGCTCGATCAGCAGCCCGTTCCCGCAGCCGTCGCTGTACCAGTAGCGCTTGTGGTGCCAGCAGCAATTCGAACATAATGGGATGCTGATGCAGTTGCAGTGCCAGAGGACCAGCCAGGGGAGAGCCTGGACATGCTCGTGGACACCGACCGCGGCACCGTCAGGAAGGTCCACGTCGCGGAGGATAACATGGTGCTCGCCACGGCATCCATGGCCTCAGCGACGAGGCCGCCAACGCGCAGAAGCGGCTCCTCAAGCACCATCCATGCCATGGCTCACAAACCTGGCGACACTGGTGCAGCGGCAGCACCAGGTGAGAAGCAGCGTGGGTGACACCCACTCTGTGCTTTTTCAATTGTAGGAGTTGGTCTGGCATTCGCAAATTCCTGGCTTCCTCTGTGGCCAACAAGTCCGTCCAGGTCGTACGCTGCCAGAAACGCATATTCTAGCTCATGGTTTGGCCAACGAAACAGATTGCTGCGCTAGCGGTGGATGGTTAGCAGTCTGGACTCCAGCTGTTCCGAGCGCCAAGGGGGTTCCATGCCAGGGCACTGGAATATTAGTACGTAGTGCCGTAGATCTTGGGAATTCAAATCGCAATTTCCAGAAGTTTTCCAGAGTCTCGGGCGTGTGTTGTCAGCGTAGAAGTTCCAGGACATCCACCCTTCTGCCTCGGTTCGATCAAAATGGTCGACTCTGTAGGATTGAACGAGGGGAACTTGACAGCCTTTGCCGGCGCGGTGCAGGGTACCTCCGACAATGGCAGGCGATTTTAACGCGTGTCCCTACAACGCGATCAAGACGGAGTGCCCGACCAGGGCTGCGGCCCAGGTGATCGCGCCGAAAAAAGCACCCTTTCTAGACGAAGTGGTCTAAGTATACCGAAGACTATTTCGTGGGGTCGTACTGTTTCGAGCGCTGCCTGAAGCAGCCCGGAGTTTTGGTATTGGGCCCCGCTTCTTCTCCTGGTTCTGGAACGGCCTCAACATCTTCCTGTCAAGGGCCCCAGCGGGCCCAAGAAACAGAAGCCCTCCGTTGTCCAGGGGTTGGGGCTGGAGCTGCCGGGGCCCCTCCTGGAGGATCGCGATGCGCGCGCCGTCTTCGGGGGCGCCGCCGACCCCGGGCCAGTGCAGCCAGTTTCTTTACAAGCCTTCGTTGCCGCCGCGGGCGCCACGTGCGGCTATTTTATGAGCGACATGTCCACGACGCTCATCATTACTACTGATGCGCCTCTGCGGAGCTCGAGGCGATGTGTCCAGGCTTCAACTATTGGGTGGGCTCCATCCAGTGTAGAGGGCAAGGACAGGAGGACGTGGAGGATGCAGCGTCTGCTTTCAGATGGCCACGCAATAAAGTCATCAACGTATGACGAGGAATGGAGGAACAGGACTTGGAGGATCAGCAGGCCACCTCGACGTGGTCGGTTCACAAGGCAATTTTGAAATTGTCGTCGCATGTGAAGTTTTCTGTGCCAGTGTCCGAAGCAGCATTAAGGCTACCCTTGTGGACTCCACGAAAACGGTGCCCGGTTTTGAGCTCATCGCGACAGCTTTTCGCATATCTGGGCTCTGAGATCGCCGAGGCTTTCGACCGTGCGAACGCGAAAACTAGGTCCGATGATCGACAGCCTTGGAAGCTTGGCGTCAAGGCAGCTATGGGGAGAGGAGTCGGATGGGCTCATCGGTGGAGTAGTCGTCTTACTTCGCGGCAACCTTCTCGAGTCTGGAGTCCCGCCGCAACCCAGTAGTCAGGCCGCCCGCCAGACATGCTGGATTCCGAACAGAAGCGTTTATGTTGCCTACGGCTTGCAGATCTTGCCGAGCCCGATCTCCTGCAAACGCAGCCGCGAGGTGAATACCTCGCATATGTTTCGCCATATCAGCTTCGAGCAGCCAGCCGGAGCTTCGGCAGCGCCATGGGCAGGACCTGGGGCGGGTTCCATCCAAGGCGCTTCAGCTTCCTAGAAGATGCCCATCTGGACATTGGGATTGGGTGAAGGCCTCTCACAGCCATGGAGGAAGTTGGAGCGTTTCCGAACCAACTCAGAGCTATCGTCACGGTTCAGCATCGGCGGCTGAAGTTCAGGGCTTGGGAACGAGCTCATCTTCGTAGATATCTTGCGCGCCGAGCCTGGAAGGGAGTTTTTGCATTCGCTTCGAGCACGCCGTGCAAGCTGATGGGCATTTCCTTGTCTGGGCCACGGACCGTTGTGACCTGTCGAACACTTGCGAGCGCATCGATCGTCAGCGCTAGAGGGGTACTGGAATGGATGCGGTGGTTGTTATCTGGTTGCGGTGGTTATATATAGTTGTTGCACATATATTTGAGTTAGGCATCTTGGTTATAACTGTGTTACTAACTTGGTTATTCGCTCAGTTATAACTAGGTTGCTAACTTAGTTACTAACTTGGCCAGGCGCGCTGGGGCATCAGGCGCGCGCGGTCATGTTGACGCGCGCATCGACGCCAACAACCATCGCTTCCTGAAACTAGCGCTGCGTTTCAGCAAACCGTCGCATCGAAATCGAAAAAGTAACGCAAGAAATTATGAAAAATCCATGTCGCTTTCATGCTCTACCCCGCATAACGCACGCCCGCCCATGCCCCCCCGCCCCGCTCCCGCCCCCTCCGTTCTACCCGCGGCGTTCCCCTCCCCAGTGCATCGCGCAGCATGTGTTCTATTGGGTTTGCGCACAACT